TTCTGAAGAAGGGTCTAGGCCCGAAACGTCAGCCTTCCTGCTCCTCTGATGCTGCTTGGCCTGCTGTGTTCATCCAGCTCTACACCTTGTTATCTCAGATTCTCCAGCATCTGCAGTTCCTACTATCTCTGAACTAATTATAGTGCTTTGTTCGATAATGAACTTAAGAAATCCACAGCCTAACATTGGTGTGAACGATACATCAAAACACATAATAGCATGAAAAATAATTCATTTCCTCATTGTAACATTTTGTATAGAATAATACCTTGACTCACAAATGTTGATCTGTTATCTGTGAAGAACTACGGTCACCTTTTACATGAGATGAGATATGGAAAATTCCAGATTTTTTGGCCAAAAATGGGGGACGGGATTCGACTTTTACTCGAGATCGACTTTTACTCTTGTATATATGGTAGCAAAGACAAATATAGGTTCTTTGTAGCCAGAAAGAGGGGAGGTTATAAGGGGGAGAAAAAAAGATGGCACAGCAATTAAATGCACATTTTGCTCTGTCTTCAGAAAGGAAGACACAAATAATGGTGCAAGAGTGTTGGGGAATGCAGGGTTCAGTCAGATGAAGGAAACAAATGAAGGGAAATAGCTAGAAAATAATGCTGGGGAAACTGACGGGATTAAAGGCCGATAAATTTCCAGGGTCTTATAATCTACATCCTAGGGTACATAAGGAAGTGGTCCTGGAAATAGTAGATGCATTTGGTGGTCATCATTCAAGATTCTGTACACTCTGGAACAGCTGCTAATGTAACCCCACTATTTAAAGATTGACGGGGAGAGAAAACAGAGAATTATAGGCTGGTTAGACAGATTGCTCATGGGGAAAGTGCTGAAGTCCATTATAAAAGATGTAATAGCAAAACACTTGGAAAACAGTGACAGGATCAGACGGAGTCAGCATTAATCTATGAGAGGGAAATCATGTTTGGGAAATCAAATGGAATTTTGAGGCTATCACTACTATTATTCATAAGAAGGAGTCAGAGGATGTAGTCGACTTGGACTTCTAGAAAGCTATGAATCCAACATATGAAATCAGCATGTAAAACTAAAGCACAACGGATTGGAGATAGTCATAGAATCACCACAGCATGGAAGCTGACCATTTGGCCCATCGAGTACACACAGGCCTCTGGAGAGCATCCCAGCCTTCCTTGGGATCCTGCATTACCCATAGCTAACCCACCTAGCCTGCACATCTTTGAACTGTGGGAGGAAACCGGAGCACCCAGAGGAAATCCACGCAGGCACTGGGAGAATGTGCAAACTCCACACAGACAGTCGCCAGAGGGTGAAATTGAGCTCAGATTCCTGGTGCTGCGAGACAGCAGTGCTAACCGCTGAGCCGCTGTGCTGCCAATGTACTGGCATGGATAGAGAATTGGTTGGAAGACAGAAAACAAACAGCAGGAATAAACTTTTAAATTTTCTGAAGAAGGGTCCCGAACCAATTGTCAGCTTTCCTGTTCCTCTGATGCTGCCTGGCCTGCTGTGTTCTTCCAGCTCCACACTTATCGCTGACTCCAGCATCTGCAACTCTTGCTATCTCAGTAGGAATAAACGGTTCTTTGTCCACCCCCCAACCCCGCGCACCAAGTGGCAGGCAGCAACTAGTGCGATACCACAGGGCACCAGCAGCAGAGTGAGTATAAACCTACTGGCGCTTGGGGCCAGTGAAAAAAAAAGTTGAAGTGATGTCACAGGGAGGCTGTGACCTGATTCGCTGGTTGGAAATCTGCACTAAATTTGAAAAAGAACACAGCAAAGAAGTATCAATAAATTTAATTAGCTAAGTAGAAAGGGCTGGACAGGTGATGTGTTGTAGCTGTATGATGTCGGAACTGGCTGGTCCCATTGCAGTGGAGAACAGCAATGACCACATCTGCAACAAGTGTTAGTTGCTGGAGGAACTTCAGCTCAGAGTTGATGAGCTGTTATCTGAGCTTCAAACATTGCAGCACATCTGGGAGGGGGAAGAAGTACCTGGACGCTGTGTTTCAGGATGGAGTCACACCTGGTAGATTAAGTACTTCAAATTTGGTCAGTGGCCAGGGACAGCAAGGGGTGACTGCAAGTGAGGATTGTAGAGGAATCCTGCATACAGGAACAGAGGAACCTCAGCTCTTGACCTTGTCCAACAGGTATCAGCCATTTGCTCCCTGTGGATGAGGAAAAGGGCTGCAGAGAGAATGAACCAACTGACCCCTGCACCATGGCTCAGAGGCCATTCAACAGGGGGGAACAAAAAGACAAGTGGTAGTTTTAGGGGATTCTATAATCAGGGGAATAGCTAGTATCCTTTGTAAGCAGGATTGAGAGTCCTGCATGGTGTGTTACCAGCCCAATGGCAGGGTAAGGGATATCTCTGACTGGCTTGAAAGGATACTGGGAGAGGAAGGGGAAGATCCAGTTATTGTGATCCACAACCGGAACAAACAACATAGGCAAGACTAGGAAAGGGGATCTGTTCGGGGATTATCAGGAGCTGGGAACGAAATTAAAGAGCAGGTCCTCAAGGGTTATAATCTCCGGATTGCTGTCCAGCCACGTACATTACCACCGTCGGTCTCCTGCCACTGACATAATTTTGGATCCAACTTGCTAAATTAGCTTGGATCCCATGTCGTTTTACCTTCTTTATCCATGTCCCATGTGAGACCTTATCAAAAGGCTTTGCTGTAATCCATATAAACTACATCAACTGTTCTACTCTTATCTACACACCAGGTCACATCCTCAAAAATTCAATCAAATTTGTTTGGCAAGACCTCCCTTTGGCAAAGCCATGTTGACTATCCCTAATCAAACCTTGCCCATTCAAGTGCAGATTAATTCCCTCCTTCAGAATTTTCTCCTGCCACTGATGTGAAACTCAGTGATTTGTAATTCCCTGGTTTATCTTTACTACACTTCTTGAAAAGTGGAACCACATGAGCTGTCCTTCAGTCCTCTACCATCTCCTTTGTGGTCAGAAAGGAATTAAAAATTTGGGTCAGTTTCCCTGCAATTTCCTCCCTGTCTCCCACAGCAGCCTGGCTACAACGCATCTAAATCAGGGGATGTGTCTTCTGTTAAGCTCTCTAATACCTCCTCACTCCCTATGCCAAACTTCATACTCCTGTAATCTCTAAGTATATCAACAACTGTTAGCAAAGGCAACATTCATACTTTGCATCTTGGATCTTTTCTTTTCCATCTTACATTGATTTTATTTTATAAAGGTTTTCTGATAGTTTCTCTTTGCTTGAACTGGGAGGAATTAGTTTCCAATTATTTCATAGTGAACAGTTTCTCAACAATAAAAATATGAGCTACGGACAAATCAAGCAATTACCTCAACTCTTGACACTTGTGCAGCACGGATACAAGCTGCTGGAGGTCTTCACACTTAATGTAGCAATTCTGCAGATCAAGGCGTTTTATAGTATCACAGAGTCCAATTACATGAGAGAGGACTGCACAGTCAATAGGTGTCAGTCGCAATCCACTAAATGCAAGGGTTTTCAGAGATCCCACAGTGGCTTGCGCCAGTAATTTATTCTGAGATTCAAACAATAGTGTAACATGTTCAGGAGGGTCCGTTTACTAGTTTCATTCTGTGGCTTTTCAATCTGTCTTTCAAAACACATCTTCATCCAATCAATCACTTGACGGGTTGTTTGGTGAAGAAACTGACCAAAGAACTTCTCCAGAAACCAAGCTGACCGTGGGGATGAAAGACCAGAAACAAAACGGAGAAATATCTCGAATCGCCCATCTTTCTGCCTGTGTGCTTCACTGAGGAGTTTCTGGATGTCCCCGGGATCTGGAATGAGGAATTGTGCGAGTGCAGCAACAAACTCTTGGATGGTCAGGTGTGGGAATGTGTAAACCACACTCTGGACAGAAACATCTCTGTCCAAAAGTTCCATCAGAAATCCAGACAGGAATTGGGATGGCTGCAGGTTGTACTGGATCAAATCTCCATTTCTAAACACGATCTTCTCAGAAACTCCAGCGAAGGCCATCTCACCAAGCTTCAGTAACACGTCACGGGGGTTTTCAATTTCCCGGCCATGGTGTTCTAAAATGTTGTAAATATAGCAGGAATACAGTTGGGTGATAGTTCTGGGAACTTGCTGCTGTTTTCTGTCTTTTCCTGCGAAAAACGGACCCAGTGACAGCCCGAGGATCCAGCAATACGAAGGATTGTAGCACATGGTAAAAAGGATCTCATTCTCTTCTAAGTGTTTGAAAACAGCTGCTGCCACTTTCTGATCTTCAAAAAACTTGTTGAAATATTTCTTCCATTCCTCATCACCGAATCCCAGGATTTCAGCCCAGACATAAGGTGGGTGAACTTGCAGCATGGGTTGGTACCTGGGACTTCGATGTTGTGGCCATTTCGGAGACATGGATAGAGCAGGGACAGGAATGGTTGTTGCAGGTTCCAGGGTTTAGATGTTTCAGTAAAATCAGGGAAGGTGGTAAAAGAGGGGGAGGTGTGGCATTGTTAGTCAAGGACAGTATTACGGTGGCAGAAAGGACGTTTGATGACAACTCGTCTACTGAGGTAGTATGGGCTGAGGTTAGAACCAGGAAAGGAGAGGTCACCCTGTTGGGAGTTTTCTATAGGCCTCCGAAAAGTTCCAGAGATGTAGAGGAAAAGATTGCAAAGATGATTCTGGATAGGAGCGAAAGTAACAGGGTAGCTGTTATGGGGGACTTTAATTTTCCAAATATTGACTGGAAACGCTATAGTTCGAGTACTTCAGATGGGTCAGTTTTTGTCCAATGTGTGCAGGAGGGTTTCCTGACACAGTATGTAGATAGGCCAACAACAGGCGAGGCCACATTGGATTTGGTACTGGGTAATGAACCAGGCCAGGTGTTAGATTTGGCGGTAGGAGAGCACTTTGGTGATAGTGACCACAATTCGGTTACGTTTACTTTAGCGATGGAAAGGGATTGGTATATAAAGCAGGGCAAGAGTTATAGCTGGGGGAAAGGCAATTATGAGGCAATGAGGCAAGATTTAGGATGCATAGGATGGAGAAGGAAACTGCAGGGGCTGGGCACAATTGAAATGTGGGGCTTGTTCAAGGAACAGCGACTGCGTGTCCTTGAGAAGTATGTACCTGTCAGGCAGGGAGGAAGTGGTCGAGCGAGGGAACCGTGGTTTACTAAAGAAGTTGAATCTCTTGTCAAGAGGAAGAAGGAGGCTTATGTAGAGATGAGGCGTGAAGGCTCAGTGAGGGCGCTTGAGAGTTACAAGTTAGCCAGGAAGGACCTAAAGAGAGAGCTAAGAAGAGCCAGGAGGGGACATGAGAAGTCTTTAGCAGGTAGGATCAAGGAAAACCCTAAAGCTTTCTATAGGTATGTCAGGAATAAAAGAATGACTAGAGTAAGATTGGGGCCGGTCAAGGACAGTAGTGGGAAGTTGTGCGTGGAGTCCGAAGAAATAGGAGAGGTGCTAAATGAATATTTTTCGTCAGTATTCACACAGGAAAAAGACAATGTAGTCGAGGAGAATACTGAGATACAGTCTATTAGACTAGACGGGATTGAGGTTCATAAGAAGGAGGTGTTAGCAATTCTGGAAGGTGTGAAAATAGATAAGTCCCCTGGGCCGGATGGGATTTATCCTAGGATTCTCTGGGAAGCTAGAGAGGAGATTGCAGAGCCTTTGGCTTTGATCTTTATGTCGTCATTGTCTTCAGGAATAGTGCCAGAAGACTGGAGACAAGCAAATGTTGTCCCCTTGTTCAAGAAGGGGAGTAGAGACAACCCTGGTAATTATAGACCAGTGAGCCTTACTTCGGTTGTGGGTAAAGTGTTGGAAAGGATTATAAGAGATAGGATTTATAATCATCTAGAAAGGAATAATTTGATTAGGGATAGTCAACACAGTTTTGTGAAGGGTAGGTCGTGCCTCACAAACCTTATTGAGTTCTTTGAGAAGGTGACCAAACAGGTGGATGAGGGTAAAGTGGTTGATGTGGTGTATTTGGATTTCAGTAAAGCGTTTGATAAGGTTCCCCATGGTAGGCTATTGCAGAAAATACGGAGGCATGGGATTGAGGGTGATTTAGCGGTTTGGATCAGAAATTGGCTAGCTGTAAGAAGACAGAGGGTGGTGGTTGATGGGAAATGTTCATCCTGGAGTTCAGTTACTAGTGGTGTACCTCAAGGATCTGTTTTGGGGCCACTGCTGTTTGTCATTTTTATAAATGACGTGGATGAGGGCGTAGAAGGATGGGTTAGTAAATCTGTGGATGACACCAAAGTCGGTGGAGTTGTGGATAGTGCGGAAGGATGTTGCAGGTTACAGAGGGACATAGATAAGCTGCAGAGCTGGGCTGAGAGGTGGCAAATGGAGTTTAATGCGGAAAAGTGTGAGGTGATTCACTTTGGAAGGAGTAACAGGAATACAGAGTACTGGGCTAATGGTAAGATTCTTGGTAGTGTGGATGAGCAGAAAGATCTCGGTGTCCATGTGCATAGATCACTGAAAGTTGCCACCCAGGTTGATAGCGTTGTTAAGAAGGCGTACAGTATGTTAGGTTTTATTGGTAGAGGGATTGAGTTTCGGAGCCATGAGGTCATGTTGCAGCTGTACAAAACTCTGGTGCGGCCGCACTTGGAGTATTGTGTACAGTTCTGGTCACCGCATTATAGGAAGGATGTGGAAGCATTGGAAAGGGTGCAGAGGAGATTTACCAGGATGTTGTCTGGTATGGAGGGAAGGTCTTATGAGGAAAGGCTGAGGGTTTTGAGGCTGTTTTCGTTAGAGAGAAGAAGGTTAGGAGGTGACTTGATAGAGACATACAAGATGATCAGAGGATTAGATAGGGTGGACAGTGGGAGCCTTTTTCCTCGGATGGTGATGGCTAGCACGAGGGGACATAGCTTTAAATTGAGGGGTGATAGATATAAGACAGATGTCAGAGGTAGGTTCTTTACTCAGAAAGTAGTAAGGGCGTGGAATGCCCTGCCTGCAAAAATAGTAGACTCACCCACTTTCAGGGCATTTAAATGGTCATTGGATAAACATATGGATGATAATGGAATAGTTTAGGTTAGATGGGCTTCAGACTGGTTTCACAGGTCGGCGCAACATCGAGGGCCGAAGGGCCTGTACTGCGCTGTAATGTTCTATGTTCTACATTGATCTCAGCCTTTTCCAATAAATGTAACTCAGTGGGACGAGTGGTTACTAACACTGAACATCCTGGGAGCAGCTTGTGCTGGATTAAACCGTACACAATGTCGGACACTTCACACTGGCATTCGGCATCTGTGCACACGAACTGACGTTCTGTATTTCTCTGATTGTCAAAAAAATTGATCCGGTCCTTGAATTCATCCAAACCATCTAATATAAAGAATAAACCCTTTGGGTTCTTCCAGAGCTCTCCCAGAACATTCCTAAAGTAAGGATACTGATCCAGTATCAAATTCCTCAGGTTAATTCTGCAGTTAATATTGTTTAAATCCCGGAATTTAAGATTGAAAACAAATTGAAAGTCTGGGTATATTTTCCCAGTGGCCCAGTCATAAACAATTTTTTGTACCATTGTTGTTTTTCCAATTCCTGGGACTCCACTCATGACTGCAGAACTCCCAGTTTGGGATTTTCTCTGGAAAAAACTGCTCTGGAACAATTGATCAGTTCGGATCTTTTCCAGCTCTCTCTGTAAATGTTTCTCTCTCCACTTTACATGGTCTCGACCTCGTGCCACCAACTCATGCTCTACAAGTTTCCGATCTCGAACAGCAGAAATGACTGTTAGCTCAGCATAGCGATCAACCAGCTGGAAAATCTTCACCTTCTCCTTTACGAGAACAGTGCTCACTCGCAGTGTTTCAGTTTGTACACGGAGTGTCTCCTTGTGTTTCTGCTGAAGATCTTAGATGAGACCGTAAAGAAAATGGTTCTCAATGTTAACTATATAACTGTAAAAACAACTTAATCATATTAGTTCAGTGTGCAGCAAAATTCAGCCTCAGTGACAGCAAATATTAGTTTGTGTCATTTGAAAACTTCAGTAGAAACTAAGAGTTTATTGATTTATCTCTCATTAAAATCAATTATGTGAGATGACCTTCTTAGAATCTCAGTTATGATGTTTGTTATAGATCAGTAATGCTGAATATAAATGTGAACAACAAGAGTTCATGTCGCTGTCTGTCCAAGGTTCATGATCTGGAGCAGCTTAGATGAGGTAATACACTAGTAAGTCCATAAATTAACACTATCGTTCTAAGTACTTTAAAAATGATGTGTATTTTTAAAGGAGTATTACATGTTGCTCTTTAACACGCACCTTTCATTATACACTGTAGGTTACTATATTGCTTTATTAGTCTGTCTTGGGACATGTTAATTTTCAAGTACTGAAATGGGGACACGTCAGAAAATAGACTGGGAAAAATTGTTTCCCAGTGCATCAAGCTTTGTAATAGCCAGTGATGCTAATCTTCTGTGATATTTACGAACGTTACTTTGGTACTAGCAAGAAGGTGAAAGTGCTGTGCATATTGAGGAGGTCCACTGTTACCAACAAGTCAACCAAAAAAAAGGGAGAAAAGTAAAGCTTGAGAGATAATAAATATCAAGGTGGACAGCAAGTGCTTTCTTAATTTATGAAAAGGAGGAAAGAAGACAAAGTCAACATAGTTCTCTTAGGGAATGAGGCCGGGAAAACGATAAAGGTGAACCAGGAAATAGCACAGAAGCTGAATAAAAATATTGCAAAGTTCAACAGTATAAGACTTTAATAGTATCTTAAAGCTACTAAATATTCAATGAGGAGAGGAAATACATAAATAATTATCACTTGAGAAAAGGTGCTAGTAAAACAAATGGGGCTAAAAACTGATAAGTCCCTTAGATCTGATGGGATGCATTCTAAGAGAATGTAGCTACGGAGATAGTGGATGCACTGGTAGTAATCTTCCAAAAATCCTCAGGTTCTAGGAAAATCCCAGAGGACTGGAAAGCTACCAATATAATTTTAAAAAGGGAAGGACACAAAAACAGATAATTGTAGGCATGTTAGCTTAATTATTAGGAAAATAGTATCACTTACAAAAGATGTAGTAGCAGAGCACTTAGGAATGCACAATGTAATCAAACAAAGTCAGCATGGCTTTACAAAGGGGATATCATGCCTGACAGAATTTATTGCCCATCCCTATTTGACCTGGAGGAAACAGTAATGACAGCACTAAGGGCTGTAGTCCATGTGATGGAGGTATACCCACTGTTAGGGAGGGAGTTCAAGGATTTTGACCTGGCGATAGTGAAGGGTGGGCAAACAACCGCATGTGTAAGGTTTGGAGGGGATCCTGTAGGTGTTGATGGACCTGTACATCTGGTGCCTGTTTCTTTCTGGGTATTAAAGTGTTACAGGTTTGGAAAGTGTTACCGAAGGACACTTTGTGACTTAATATAGTGCATCTTGTAAATGATATACACTGCTACGTTGGAGGGAATACTAAGTGTTGGATGTGACACCAATAAAGTGGATGTTTTGTCCTGGATAGTGTTAAGCCTGTTGAATGCTGGAGCTGTAAGTATACAGTACTCCAACACGCTCCTGACTTGTGCAACGTAGATAGTGGATAAGTTTTGTCAGGAGATGAGTTGTCACATAAATCTCAAAGTTTTATCTGCACTTGTAGCCAGTGCATTTTATGGTTGGTGCAGTTCAGTTTCTGGTCATTAGTACCACCAAGATGATAATAGTGGGAGATTCAGGGATTGAATGACAGGAAGATGCAATCTCTCTTGTAGGAAATGGTGACTGCCTGATGTTTGTGTGATGAGAATGTTAATGGTCATTTATCAGCCTAAGCCAGAAAGTTGTCAGATTTTGCTACATTTGGACATAGACCATTTCTGTATCAGAGGAGCCATGAATCCTGTTGAACACTGAGCAATCATCACCAAATATCTTGACTTCCAAGCTCAGAATGGAGAGAAGTTCATTGAAAATTATTGGAGCTTCAAACTACCATGAGGAACTTTGGCAATGATGTCCTGGAGCTTATATGACAATTTTCCTACAAGCACAACTATATTCCTAGATAGGAGCCCAGTAAGCAGCAAGGGTTGGATTTATTTAGCTTCTCTGGGCAGTTTTCCACACTGCAAGATTGATGCCAGTAAGATAACAGTACTGGAACAGCCTGAATTGGGATAAAGCTAATTCTGGAGCGCAAGTCTCCACGGCATTGTTGAAATGTTGCCAGTGCTTTCAGCTGTTTCTTGATTTATATGGGGCCAACTGAATTGAGTGAAGGCTGGCATTTGTGATGCTGGGAAACTCAGGAGGAAGCATGAGGTGGATCGTTCACTTGGGACTTCAGGTTGAAGATGCTTTCATACGTTTCAGCCTTATCTTTTGCACGAATGTGCTGGGCACTGCAATATTGAGAATTGGGATATTTGTGGAGATGAGTTAAGTGCCCACTACCATTTATGATTGGATATGGCTGAACTGCAGAGCTTAGACCAGGATCCAGTGATTGTAGGTCCCTTGGCTCTGTCGATCCCTTGATGTTTATGTTGCTTGGCATGCAATTAGCTCCGCGTTCTGGTCTCAGAAAGCATGCATCTCATTTTTAGCGATGTCTATTGGTGTTCCAAACATGCGCTCCCTACTCTTTGTTGAGCCAGAACTTGAGGCCACAAAATGAAAGTGTTGCAACAAGTTTGTACCAGGATTCACAGTATACTGGATACTATGAGGGTACATATAGCATTTCACATTGTGAAACCTTGTATATACCTGGCTGGATCTGAACATACTGTGAAACCTGTACATACTGTTGCAGTATCCTGATTCAGTGCAATCTACATATTTAGAGGTAACATTAGAATCACGTGAATTCTAAATTCACACACATAAGCTGAGGATGAATGACCAATCCAAACCACATTCAATCCTGTTGTCCCAGTCTTTCAAGTTCCAATTCTCAGATTCTGAAGTCTGTAAACAGCGACAACGAACATTCTGATTTTCAGAAGGAAAATCCATTTCGTCACGTACCTTTCAAGTGATAGGGTATTTCAGATGAAGCCTGTGAAATATTCATGTTATCAAATAGGTCAGAACCTGTTTAAAGATAAAAATCAGTTTTTACGAAATGATGCCTGATGGAATACCATACTAAAATTTGCAATGTTTGATTCTGACATTGAATTCATTGTGATTTTACTATACCAAGTTCCTGTACTTCCTTTAAAATTTTATGCAACTTTGGGACCCCTTGGCGCATTTTTACAAAGGATTCCCACATCACTCTTCGCGCCCGAGAGCCTTTCTCCATCACCAGGTTAAGGAGAAGTTTGGAACTGTCTGTTCTGTTTCCCTTCTCCTCGAGCTCAGTGACTTTCTGTAAAGAATAGTGATAATATACAAGGAGTAGAGTGAATGATAACAGTGAGAATGAGAACATAAACATAGAATCAGAGGGCTGTACCCGCTTCGGTCCAAGTTGTCCATGCCAACCAGATATCCTAAATTAATCCAATCCCATTTGCCAGCATTGGCCCATATCCCTCTAAAGCCTACTTATTCATGTACCCATTCAAAAACCTTTAAAATGTTGTAATTGTATCAGCCTCCACCACTTCCTCTGGCAGCTCATTTCATACACAGACCACCCTCTACATGAAAAGTTTGCTCCTCAGGTCTCTTTTAAATCTTTCCCCTCTCACCTTAAACCTATGCTCTCTATTTTTGGAATCCCCCACGTCAGGGGAAAAAGACCTTGGCTGTTCACCCTACCCATGCCTCTCGTGATTTTACAAACGTCTGTAAGGTCAGTGCTCAGCCTCCATCACTCCAGGGAAAATAGCCCCAGTCTATTCAGCCTCCCCCTATAGCTCAAACACTCCAACCCTGGCAACATTCTTGTAAGTCTTTTCTGAACCCTTTCAAGTTTCACAACATCCTTCCTATAGCAGGGAAAACAAAATTGAATGCAGTATTCCAGAAGTGGCCTAACCATTGCCCTGTACAGCCACATATGACCTCCCAACACCTATAATCAATGCACTGACCAATAAGGGCAAGCATACCAAGTGCCTTCTTCACTATCCTTCTACTTTGGATTCCACTTTCAAAGAACTACGAACCTGCACTCCAAGATCTCTTTGTTCAGCAACATTCCCGAGGGCCTTATCATTAAGTGCCTAAGTCCTGTCCTGATTTGCCTTTCCAAAATGCAGCACCTTAAATTTAGGTAAGTTAAACTCCATCTGCCGCTTCTCGGCCCATTGGCCCATCTGATCATGGTCCGTTGGAGGTAATTTTCTTCGCTGTCCACTACACCGCCAATTTTAGTGTCATCAGCAAACTTACTAACCATACTTCCTATGTTCACATCCAAATCATTTACATAAATGACAAAACGCAGTGGACCCAACACGGACCCTTGTGGCACACCACTGGTCACAGGCCTCCAGTCTGAAAAGCAACCCTCCACTACCACCACCTCGAAGGTCTTCTACCTTCGAGCCAGTTCTGTGTTCAAATGGTTAGTTCTTCTTCTGTTTCATGTGATCTAACCTTGTTAACCGGTCTACCATGCAGAACCTTGTCGAACACCTTATGAAGTGCCACACCAAAGGCTGCTACATAAGATAAAGTTGCACGGTATTACAGGTAATGTATTGGCATGGATAGAGGATTGGTTGACCAGTAGAAAGCAAAGAGTAGGGGTAAATGGGTGTTTTTTTGGTTGGCGGTCAGTGGCTAGTGGTGTGCCTCAGGGATCAGTGTTGGGACCGCAATTGTTTACAATTTACATAGATGATTTGGAGTTGGGGACTAAGTGTGGTGTGTCAAAATTTGCAGATGACACTAAGATGAGTGGTAGAGCAAAGTGTGCAGAAGACACTGAAAGTCTGCAGAGGGATATAGATAGTCTAAGTGAGTGGGCAAAGGTCTGGCAGATGGAGTACAATGTTGATAAGTGTGAGGTCATCCATTTTGGTAGGAATAACAGCAAAATGGGCTATGTTTTAAATGGTGAAAAATTGCAGCACGCTGCTGTGCAGAGAGACTTGGGTGTCCTTGTGCATGAATCACTAAAAGTAGGACAGCAGGTGCAGCAGGTAATTAAAAAGGCAAATGGAATTTTGTCTGCCATTGCTAGAGGGATGGAGTTTAAAAACAGGGAGGCTATGCTGCAGCTGTATAGGGTCCTGGTGAGGCCACACCTGGAGTACTGTGTGCAGTTTTGGTCTCCTTACTTGAGAAGAGATATACTAGCACTGGAGGGGGTGCAGAGGAGATTCACTCGGTTGATTCCAGAGTTGAGAGGGTTGGATTATGAGGACAGACTGAGTAGACTGGGATTATAATCATTGGAATTCAGAAGAATGAGGGGAGATCTTATAGAAACATATAAGATTATGAAGGGAATAGATGAGGTGGAGGCAGGGAGGTTGTTTCTGCTAGCAGGTGAAACTAGGACTAGAGGGCATTGCCTCAAAATAAAGGGAAGCAGATGTAGGACTGAGGTCAGGAGGAACTTCTTCACCCAAAGGGTTGTGAATCTGTGGAATTCCCTGCCCAGTGAAGCGGTTGAAGCTACCTCGCTGAATGTTTTTAAGGCAAGGCTAGATAAACTTTTGTACAGTAAAGGAATTAGGGGTTATGGTGAGTGGGCGGGTAAGTGGAGCTGAGTCTCAAAAAGATCAGCCATGATCTTATTAAATGGCGGGGCAGGCTCAAGGGCCCAGATGGCCTACTCCTGCTCCTAGTTCTTATGTTAAATCCACATAGATCACGTCCACTGCTCTGCCCTCATCTTTGTTACTTCTTCAAAATACTTAATCAAATCAAAGAGACACAACTTCCCACACACAAAGCAAAGATGACTATCCCTAATCTTGCCTTTCCAAATACATGTAAATTCTGTCTTTCAGAATTCCCTCCATCAACTTGCCCACCACTGATGTCAGGCTCACTGGTCTGTAGTTCCCTGGCTTTTCCTTATCACCTTTCTTAAATAGTGGCACCACGTTGGCCAACCTCCAGTCTTCCAGCACCTCACCTGTGACTATCGACGATAGAAATATCTCAGCAAGGCACGCAGCAATCACTTCCCTTGCTTCCTGCAGTTATAGGGTACACCTGATCAGGTCTCGGGGATTTATCCACCTTTATTTTAAGGCATTCAGCACCTCTTCCTCTGTAATATGAACATTTTTCAAGATGTTGCTATTTATTTCCCCACATTCTCTACCTTCCACATACTTCTCCATGGGAAGCACTGATGCAAAATACTCTTAGTATCTCCTCGAGGTTGCAGTTCTGTACATTGGTGGCCTTACTGATCTTTGAGGGGCCCTATTCTTTCCCGTGTTACTTTCTTGTCCTTAATGTATTTGTAGAATCCCTGTGGATTCTCCTTAACCCTATTTGCCAAAGCTATCCCACATCCTCTTTTTGCTTTCCCGATTTCCCTCTTTAGTATTCTCCTATTGCCTTTATACTCCTCTAGGGGTTCACTCTATCCCTGCTGTCTATATCTGACATATGCTTCCTTCTTTTTCTTGACAAAACGCTCTGTAAAAATGGTGATTCAGTCATGAAAATGGAGATCAGAAAGTATATTCCGAGAATGAGCAACTAGAGAATCTGTAGTAATTTTAGTGTGATCAGTTCCCTCTGTTTCTCAGTGTCCAACATAGAGTCAAAATTGTACAGCATGGAAATAGATGCTTCCATCCAACCAGCCTGTGCCGACCATAATCCCAAACTAAACTAGTCCCACCAGCATGCGCTTGGCCCATATCCCTCCAAACATTTATTATTCACGCACTTATCCAAATGTCCTTTAAACATTGTAACTACTCGCATCCAGCACTTCTTCTACAAATTCATTCCATGAATGAACCTCTCTCGATGCAAAAAAAAATTGTCCCTTGTGTCTTTTTTTAAATTTTTCTCCTCACACCCAAAAAATATGCCCCCTAGTCTTGAAAACCCCCACTGTAGGGAAAAGACACCTGCCATTCACCTTGTTTATAAGATCACGAGGGGTGTAGACATCTATAAACGGCACCCCTCAACCTCCTACGCTCCAGTGAAAAATGGTTCCAAGCTTATCCAGCCTCTCCTTAATACTCATACCCTCCAATCTTGGCAACATCCTGGTAAATTCAATTATCAACCCTCTCCAGCTTAATAATATCCTTCCTATAACGGTGACCAGAACTGGACACATTACGCCAGAAGAGGCCTCAAAGTCCTGTACAACCACAACATAATGTCCCAACTCCTTTTATACTTAAAGGTCTGAGTAACACCCTTTGAAATATTTTGAATTGTGTGGCCTATCAGTAGAATATCAATGGTGCAGAATGATAATGATAAACCAACACAGAGCAAACTACCTTATCCAGGGTGCAACTCCTGAGAGAATCAGAAGAGAGACTTGTAGTTTTATGAGCACAGAATCATATGGCAATAATCTTCAGAAAGAACAGTAGCAAGACTTCTAGTGGAACACTTCTTGATCTGGATACAGCTGAACCAATTTCCACACACTTGGCTTAGGCATTGACTGTACCCTTCAGCGTCACAATCAAAGTTAAATCTAGAACACAGAACAGTACAGGCCCTTCAGCCCGCGATATTGTGCCGAACTTTTACCCTAAACCCAAGATCTATCTAACCTCCACCCCATCTTATATTATCATCCATATGCCTATCTAATAGCCACTTAAATGCCCCTAAAGAGGCTGACTCCACTACCCTCTCCAGCAATGCATTCCACTCCCCTACCACTCTCTGAGTAAAGAACCTACCTCTGACGTCACCCCTATATCTACCTCCACTCACTTTAAAACTATGCCCCCTCGTAATTGCTACCTCCACCCTAGGAAAAAGTCTAGCCTCCAGTGAAGTAACAAGGAATCAGTGTGATGCACAGAAAACATGACACCAGTACCAACAGATGTGAAAGAAATATAGTTTGTTTTGAAGATGCAACTGATGCTCAAACAAACAATGTTAAAAAAGTTGACATCATCCAAGTAATCACACCCTCTTTATTCAGTAGCAACACTAATTGGTATCAATAAGCCACCTTCAATTATCACAGGTTGTATAAACAAATAACTAACGTATCAGATCTAAACTGCTGTTCAACTAATGGAAAAAAAACTAATACAATCCCTACAGTTTGGAAACAGGCCCTTCAGCCCAAAAGTCCACACCGACCCTCAATGCATCCCACCTCGACCCATTCCCCCTATAACCAACTAATCTACACATCCTTGAACACGATGGGCAATTTTAGCATGGCCAATCCACCTAGCCTACTCATCTTTGGAGCACCCAGAGGAAACCCACGTAGACATGGGGAGAACATGCAAACTCCATACAGACAGTCCCGAGGGTGGAATTGAATTCAGGCTCCTGGTGCTGTGAGGCAGTAGTGCTAACTACTGAGCCACTGTGCCGCTCGTTAACAAATTTATCAAACTATCTGAAAATTCCTTACAAATGACTGATGGTCTATTTTAGATGGACACAATCCCCCAAAATCTAACAGTTTAATTGTGGAGTCAGAGGTCATTACTATCACCAGGACCCAGGATGGATTTTCTCACATGATCAAGTTCTTATGCATACAAGCGATTTTGGGAGTTTGACTTCAATCAGGACCTTCTGACAGAATTGAACCATAGAATCCTTAGTGTGGAAAGAGGCCGATCGGCCCACTGAGTCGGCACCAACCCTCCAAAAAACATCCCATTCAGACCCAGCTCCTCCACCCTATGCCCATAAATCCACATTTTACCATGGCTAATCCATCTAGCTCAAACATCCCTGGACAATACGAGGTGATTTAGCATGGCCAATCCACTAAACCTGCACATCTTTGCACTGTGGGAGGAAACTTGAGCACCCGGCAGGAACCCACAAATTCCACAGTAGCCTGAGGCTGGATTTGAACCTGGGTCTCTGGTGCCATGAGGCAGCAGTGCTAACCACCAAGCCCCTATGCCACCCTAGTTTCAAAGTCTAATGTCGGTTGTCAAAAGCTTCAGGCACCATACTGAAAAGGGAACCTGTATAGGTATTTATTCAATGCAAGCTTGCAACATCACTGGAGACTGTGTTAAATACTCTACATCCCATCCATACACTTTTGGAAATGTCTCACTCCAAGTCAAATCTGGCTCTAAGGTTAAGTGATGCCTCACTAGGAGGTTCTGTTCCAGGCCACTCTCAAAAAGAAGAGAATGGGTCTTCCCCAGAAATGGCAGCAGGAAGCTGTCTCATCAGATTTGGGCGAACAGGACTCCATACAGGAGTTTGTGCATTCTTTTCTACACTGGATCCTGGTCCATTTAGGAGGATGACAGCAGATGAGTACAGTGTATTCTATCACACTCCGGTGCCTTGTAGATGGTGAACAGGCATTGGAAAAAAAAGGTAGAGTGTTATTCACTGCAGAATTCATTCTCTCTGACCTGCTTGTGCAATTGGTCCAGTCTAATTTTTGGTCACTGGGAAACTCCAGGATGTTGATAATGGGGCTTCAGCAACGGTAATGACATTGAACCACAAGGAGCAAATGGTTAGATTTTCTCTTGCTGCAGATGGTCATTGCTTGACATTTGTACAATGCTCATTGCTGGTCACTTGTTAGCTCAAGCCTGGATATTGTCCAGGTCTTGTTGCATTTGAACACAGACTGTCAGTATCTTGAAGTATGAATTATGCCGAACATCAAGCGGACATCTGTAGATTTCAGCAGACATCCCACCTCTGACTCTATGATGGAGCAACTGAAGGTGGCTGTGCCAAGAAGACTACCCGGAGGAATTCCTGCAGAGATATCTGACCACCAACAACCACAACCATCGTCCTTTGTGTTAATATGACTCTAACCAGTGAGGAGATTTCCTGTTCATTCCCAATGATTTCAGGCTTGCTGGGACTGTTTGATGCCATGCTCAGTCAAATGCTACCTTACCTTGCGTTGTGTTCAGCTCTTTTGTCTATGTTTAAACTGTGGCTGTAATGAGGTCAGGTGCTGAGTGGGCCAGGCGTGGATCCTCCTCATTTTCATACTTAAATTTTGAATTGCAAATGTTACAAGGAATCCTTTGAAGATTATCAACCTCAAAAGGTCCAATTTTTTTTAAACTGTCTTCATAAGGGTTGAACATGTGACTGTAGAACTTTACTGACTTCCTTCTCTGTACATTTGGTACCAACTTGTACCACCCCTACTGGTTCATTAACACAACCTGAAAACTCATACAATTTCAGCTCATTCCTCCTGTTCAGTATAGCAGATGAGAGGCTATCTGAAATGCCTGTGTGTTGACCATCTCCTAGGATGTATGATCCAGGAAACTTGCATCTTCCCTGATGCTCCAGTGACTCAGCTGACCGTCAGTCTCAGAAATCCTGAGCTCGTGCAGAAGCAGCTGGAGACACTTCCTATATAGGTGGCCCCCAAGAGTGTCATCAGGTTCCCAAATGGCATTACAAACAGATTTCAGCCAGGCATCCATGAAGTAAATAAAATATTCTTCTGTCTTTTAACATCATGTCACAAATTTGTACAAACTCTTCATTTTAATCAACATCTCAAGAATTGCTGTTTTGATATTCTGAATATTAGTGCACTCCCTATAAAGAATACTCTGACTGAAATTCCCCATTAAACTAGTTCAGTGACAAATTTGACATGGTACGTTATTTTTTCCTGGTCTTAATTCAATGCACCATACACCAAACAACTGACTAATGTCACGTGATCACACTCCCTGTTTGTTTGGAATGAAGTTTTCAGGTCCATGTTGTTCCCCCGTCTCTCACACAATCTTGTCAATGTTAGTATCAGCCTTTGTTTCAAAGTGGCATAAATTCAAACCTAACCTTAGGAAGGACGATGGGGCATGTTTAAATGAATAAAAATCTTATCTGAAGTTAAAAATGGGGCAGTGAACAATTGGACAATCTTTGGAACAGGCTTGTTAGGGAAATGCCAGTGTATGAGATGAGAAGCATACTTGGGAGGAACACGCAACTTTGAAGCTGTGGTTCTGAAAGTCTGCGCAACTTGAGTTTCCTTACTTCTTGCGGATGAACTGATTTCTAACGATTAGTTAATGAGTCCGATATTATTGCAGCATGAGATTAACAGGACGCTAAAGACAACCTTGACGAGACTTGCATCTTTTTCTTTAGCCAAGTGTTTCCGTTCTGTCAGTTTTCTCTTATACGGATTATCAAAAGTTGGTCTGTGTCCCCCTGACTTACCTGATGCTCAGGTCCACTGAAAATGCTCTCGCACGTTAACAATGAGCTGATTCCATCCACACCTTTTTCAATTGCTTGTTCTAGTCTGTCCCAATAGAACTTAGTCAACCGAAACAGCTGGTAATCCCCACACGTTGTCAGGAAATCAGAAATATTAGAGTCTGGGTCTGTCAACATAAGTGAAGATACAGCACATTATCACTGTTCCATCCAGTCAGCTATAATTTCTCTTAGACTGAACAACTGAATTTACATAACATGATCCAGTTTCACGCAGCATTTGTAAGAGATAAGCAAAGATTGGAGACTAGAATTTTGGATTTAAACAAGGCAGATTTTAATGAGAGGAGGCAGAGACTGCCCACAGTAAACTGGAAAAGTTCTGTTAATAAGTAAAACAACTGAGGAGCAGGGGAAAGCGTTCAAAGAAACATTTGAGTGATGGACGTCTACAGAATGGAAACTGGCCCTTCAGCCCAACTTACCTATGCTGCCAAGTTTTCACAATTCCAATTTGACTGTGTTTGGTCCATATCTCTCCATACCTACCCCATCCATGTACCTGTCTAAATGTTTCTTAAATGACAAAATTGTACTCACTTCCACCACTACCTCTAGCAGCCCATTGCAGACACACACCATCGTCTGTGTGGAAAGAAAAAATTGCCCCCAGGACCCTTTTGTATCTCTGCACTCTCACCTTAAACCAATGCCCTCTCGTTTTAGTCTCCCCTGCAATGGGAAAAAGCTGTTGGCTATCTACTTTATCTATGCCTCTCATGATTTTATGGGCTTCCATAAAGGTCATTCTCATTCTCCTACAGTCCAGGGAAAAAAACATCCCACCTTATCCAACTCTTCCTTATAACTCAAACCTTCCAGTTCAAGTAGCATCCTAGTAAATTTTTTCTGCACCCTTTCTATTGACTAATATCCTTTCTGTTACAAGGCGACTAGAACTGCACACAGTAACCCAAATGCGGCCTTACCAATGTCTGGTACAGCTGCAACAAGACATCCCAACTCCTATACTCCATGCTCTGACCAATGAAAGCAAGCATGCCAAAAGCCTTCTTCACTGCGCTGTCTACCTGCGACTCCATTTTCAAGGAGCTATGAACCTGTACCCTTAGATCTCTTCGTTCTATAACATTTCCCAGGCCCCTGCCATTGACTGTGTAAGTGCTGCCGCGGTTTGACCAACTGAAATGCTACACCTTGCATTTATCTAAATTAAACTCCACCTGCCATTCCTCAGCCCACTGGCCCAGTTGATAAAGATCACGCTGCATTCCCAGATAACCTTCTTCACTGTCCACTATACCAACAATCTTAGTATTATCCACTAACTTACTAACCATACCTCTTAAATTGTCATCCAAATCACTGATATAAAATGATGAATAACAGTCGATCCAGCCCCAATCCTGTGGCACATAGCTAGTCACAGGCCTCCAGTCTGAAAAACAACCCTCTACCACCGCCCTCTGATTTCTACTGTCAAGCTCCTTCAAAAAACTCAATCAAATTCGTGAGACATGACTTCCAATGCACAAAGCCATGCTGACTATGCCAAACTGGCCTAGCCTCTCCAAATGCCTGTAGATCCTGTCTCTCAGAATCCTCTCTAACAACTTACCCACTACAGACATTAGGCTCACCAGTATGTAGTTCCCAGGCATTTCCCTGCACCATCCTAAATAATGGCACATTAGCCACCCTCCAATCTTCGGGCACCTCATCTGTGACTGCCAATGATACAAGCATCTCTGCTAGGGGCCCCACAATTTACTCCCCTATCTCCTACAAAATTCTGGGATATACTTCATCAGGTCCCAGGTATCTATCTACTTTAATGCATTTTAAGACTTCCAGCACCTCCTGTTCTGTGATGCAGCCTCTCTTCAAGACATCACTATTTATTTCCCCAAGTTTCCTAGCATCCATGCCTTTCCATGACGGTAAATAATGACGAGAAATACTCATTTAGGATTTCACCCATTTCTTATGGATCTGCTCATAGATGACTTTGTTTATCTTTAAGAGGCCCTATTCTCTCCGTAATTACTCTTTTGCCCTTCATACACTTGTAGAATCTCTAGATTTTCCTTTACATTATCTGCCAAAGCCATCTCATGTCCCCTTTTAGCACTACTCCGACATCCTCTATACTCCAAGGAATTCACTTGATTCCAACTGCCTACATATATCATATTCCTCCTCCTTTTTCTTGACTAAGGACTCAATAACTCTAGTCATCCAGTGTTCCCTAATCCTGCCAGCCTTACCCTTCACTCTGACAGGAACATGCTGCCCTGGAATGCTCATTAACTCACTTTTGAAAGCCTCCCATTCGCCTGCAAACAGTCTCCCCCAGTCTACACTCGAAAGTTCCTAAAACTATTAAAATTGCCCCAATTAGAACTTTAAGTTGTTGATCAGACCCATCCTTTTCCATTGCTATTTTAAAACTAATGGAATTATAGTCACTCATCTCAAAGTGCTCCCCTGCTAACAATTAGATCACTTGCCCTGCCTTATTTCCTAAGAGCAGATCAAGTTTTACCCCTTCCCTAGTACAGCCATCTACGTTTTGCATGACAAATTCTTCCTGAATGCCCTTAATAAATTTCTCTCCATCCAAGCCCTTGACACTCGCAGTCCTAGTCGATGTTAAGAAAGTTAAAATCCTCTAATATTCTAGCAGCTACAGTATCTGCTATCTCCTTACATATTTGTTCCTCAATCTCCCACTGACTATTGGTGGGGGTGGGGGTGGTTTACAGTACAATGCTATCACAGTGATCCTCCTCTTTTTATTTCTCAGTTCTACCCACATACACTCAGTGGACAAACCCTCAAGAATGTCTTCCTCAGTACTGCCATGATGCACTTCACTGTTGCTGGGTCAACATCCTGCATTTAACTCCCTAATAGCATTGTGGGCCAACCCACAGCCGGAGGACTGCGGCAGTTCAAGAAGGCAGCTCACCTCCACCTTCTCAAGGGCAACTAGGGACGGGCAAGAAATGCTGACCAGCCAGCGACGCTCACATTCCACAAATGAATAGGAAAAAAAAATGTTCTCCCCAATCAAACCAACTCCCCATCCTCTCTTGCCTACCCCTCTATCCTTCCTACAGGATTTGTACCCTGGAACATTGAAATGCCTGTCCTGTCGCTTCCTCAAACAGGTTTCTGTAATAGCTAGAATATCCCAGTTCCATGTACTCATCCATGCCCCAAGTTAATTTGCCTTATCTGTCAGACCTGTCAAATTTAATGCTATTCAGAAGCAGTTTATACCCACGAAGAAGAAAAGATCCACCTCACCAAAAATAAAACAAAAAAAAATCGTGCCTTGGACATCTAAGGAAGTAAGGGATAGCATAACATTAGAAGAAAGGGCTTAAAGAGGTGCACAGAACAGTACAGATCCCACAGAATAGAATAAGTATAGGCCACAGAGGGGCTTAGAAGAGCTAAAAACAATTATGAAAGAAAAGTTACAAGTGGCATAAGACTAAAAGAGATTTTAGTGTTGTATAAAAGGGAAAGTGGCTGGTTCAGAGTACTACTGCCCCACTGAAGGTTGAGATTGGGGATATTATCAATGACCATGGGGACATGTTGAATTATTATTTTATCAATATTCACAGCAGAAAAGGAGGACAGCTTGTGGGATGTCCCAAAGAAATTAACAGAGGTTCAGGGACAGGGTCTAAATAAAATTATCTTAAATAAATCATTCATAATGGGGAAATTATAAGCTAGTGAGCCTTACTTCAGTGGTAGGGAAATTATTGGAGAAGGTTCTTAGGAACAGGATTTACACACATTTGGAAAAATATGAACTTCTTGGTGATAGATAGTATTGTTTTGAGAGAGATGGTCATGTCTCACAAAATTGCTTTGAGTTTTTTGAGGAAGTGACAAAGATGATTGATGAGAGCAGAGCAGAGGATATTGACCACATGGCCTTTGACAAAGGTCCCTCTTTGCAGACCGATACAGAAGGTGAAGTTGGATGGGATTGGCAGTAAACTGGTAAGATGGATACAGAACTGGCTTGATCATAGATTGAAGAAAAAGAATAGAGGTGTGGAACGGTGTTTTTCTGATGGAAAATCTTTAATCAGTGATGCTCTGCAGGGATCAGTGCTGGGATGTTTGGAAGATAGATCAATGATTTGGAGAAGAATGTAGGTAGTGTGATTAGCAAGTTTATAGACAACATAAAGATTTGGGGTGGGGTGTTGTTGAAATTAGGGAGAATTACCAAAGGACACAACAGAATATAGATAAACTGGAGACTTGGGGGGAGAACTGGAAGGAGGAGTTTAATCTGGACAAATGCGAGTGATGCATTCGGAAAGTCTAATATAGGAGGGAAGTATACAGTAAATGGCATAATCCTTAGAAATACTGACATACAGAGGGATCTAGGCATACAGGTCCACAATTCCTTGAAAGTGGTAACACAGGTGGAAAAGCTGGTCAAGAGAGTGTATGATACGCTTGCCTCAGTAGTCAGAGTGTAGAGTATGAAAATTGGCAAGTCATGTCGCAGCTGAATAGAACTTTAGTTAGGCCGCATTTGGAATATTGCATACAGTTCTGGTCATCACACTACCAGAAGGATGTGGAGGTTTTGGAAAGGGAACAGAAGAAGTTTACCAGAATGTTGACTGGAGAGTTTAGAGTATGAGGAGAGATTTGACAAACTTGGTTTGTTTTCCTTTGAACATCAGAGGCCAAGGCTGAGCAGATAGAATTTTTCAAAATTATGAAAGGGATGCATAGAATGGATAGTCAGAGTCTTTTCCCAGGGTAGAAATGTCAATTATACATAGGTTTAAAGATGAAGCAAAACGTTTAAAGGAGATGGGAGAGGCAAATGAGGGTGGAAAATACTTGGAACGTGGTACCGGATAGAAGCAGATACAATAGCAACTTTTAAGTATCTTGACAGATACATGAATGGACTGCATAGAGAAAGTTCAGAAAGGTGTCATGTTTCAGCACAGTCTTGGTAGGCTGAACAACCTGTTCTTTGTTTCTTTCTTTAAGAGAACCTCCAAGGGACTTGAAGGTTTCTATCAACACAGATGTTGAAGAAGATTAGAGAGCACATGTCCGATGCCCTAACCATAAACTTAGAGTTCCC